GGGGGGGGGGGGGAAGCGACATCCGGTCGACGACTCCCGCACGAGCGAGGGGGCGGCTGTGAGTTGGCGGTTTTAATCGGCGATGCGATGGGAAGAAGAGTAGTTGCTGTTAACTACGGCCGAGGTGCGCGTGATTCACGCGCATTCGTCCACGTGCGTCGCAATTAGCGCAGGAGGGACGTAGAGATCGTTTCGAAATGCCGTCGGAATCTCTCGGCGATTGAGGTGACTTCCCGGCCCGAATGAAGAAGTAACGCCCGTCCGTTGATGCCGAACTTTACATCGAACCACCGGCGGCCTATGAAATCATCAACTCCACGGGAAAGTACAAGCGCGGAACCTCGATCAGGACTCGAATCAACGAGATCGATCGGGAATTATCGAGCGCCTCGTGGACTGAAAGCGGTCCGCGGAAGAAACAACCCCTCGGAGACTCAGCGGCGAGCCGGTGAATGGGATTGCCATCGCGAGACATGGCTCCGAAGAAGTGAGAAGCAGCGGGACACGCGGTCTCTCTCGCACGATCGGGGGTAGGCAATGCTCGCGCAGCCGGGCAGCTAATCGGCCGTGTCCTCGCGCCGGTAGAACCAAATGGGCGAGCCGAAGCCCGCCGTCTCTCCGCAGCCCAACGGCGGAGTGAAGCAGAAACCGACGAGCCTGAACCTCGCGCCGGCTCCCGGCTTCTATCGCAATGTGAACGGACGCGCGAGCCTGAATGATCGTCATCTACAGCACGTCACCGCTCTCGGCGGTGGACGCAGCGCCGCACGCGTCAACAAGTCCGCCTCGCCAGGCCCTGCAATCAACAACTCCGAGCCCGGTGCAGCTGCCGCTACCGTCCAGCTACCAGCGCTACCAGCAGTACCATCACTATCAGCACTACCTGCAGCGTGGTCGTTGTCTGCAGAACTTGAAAATCTGCTGGAACCCCCGCCCCCACCGGCCCCAGCACACCACCCCGCCACCCCGGCTCGAGCAGGCCCCGAACATCATCCGAACGAGCAGCAGCAACAACAGCAGCATAACAATCTACGATCGTCCCCGATCAACCAGCTGCCCACCCGTAGCCCGAGTCACAATGGTCACGGGTTCCCCCTCTACACACCACCTGCCCCGATACCAGCATCCGGCGCAAATAAAGTTCGCCCTGCTCCCAACGGGCTACCACAGCCAGCAGCACCGAGGCGTCCTCATAGTATTGCCGCTCCACCATTCCACCACGGCGCCGGTGTCCAACACCCCCTTGGTCAGCTCGGTGGTAGAGCAGCCGCGGCACCACTACCATCAGCCAGCCCAGCACCACCCGGAGCACCACCGGCACCGTGGGGCTCAGCCGCTGCACCAGGTGCACCACCCGGTGTACCAGGAGTGGTACAACGGCGTGCCCATTCGGTCGCCGGTACTCCAGTATCTCTACCCGCCGGCGGTGGCAACAACAATGCCGTCAACGGCCAGCAGGAGCCAAGGAGTAACGGTCCACCATCAGCAGCCGGCGTGGTACCCGCGACTCGCAGCGCTGTACCACCCCAATCTCTATGGAACGGCCAACAGCCCTTACCCAGGCGGCCTCACAGCATCGCCTCGACACCCGTTACAGCTGCAACAGGCCTACCTCCAGCTACAACAGCAACACCAACCGGCGTATCCGCGTCCGCTCGTACACCAGGGGAGCCCATACAATGGGGTCCCTCCGGCATGGTTCTGCATCAACCCATACCTCGCAGGGCGTACGCCTCGACCTTGCCACATCCTCAGCCACCCACGCCCACGTCACAAGGGCCCTGTCTGAGCGTACTGACTAACCCCGGTAATTCGAACACCTGGACGCCGGGCGCCGCACTGCGCACCCGACCTCACAGCATCGCCAGCACGCCTCAGGGCGCGCCGATGCCGCCCGCCTCCCCCTCGGACTCGGGCTATCGCTCCTTGCCATCGGCCGCCAGCGACTATCAGATCCTCAAGTCACCCTCGAGGTCTCAGCAGCAGCAACAGCAGCAGCAGCAGAGCGCCGTGCGACGACTGTCCCTGCCGTCCGCTCAGAGCCTGCTGCGCGCGAACGCCCCGCGGCCGAGCCCCACGTTCCACGGACTGCCGTTCCGGCCGTTCACGTGCGGCGTCTCGCCGAACGGCAATCCGATCTTCCTCGGCTGCACCCACCTTCACAATAGCAACTCCAGCAGCGGAAGTACCGGCACGAGGACTTCCACGCCCGCGACGAGCCCGGCGACGCCGCTCACCACGTCGCAGGCGATACAACAGCTGCTGGCGCAGCCGAGGAATGGTTTCAAGATAATGGATGATAAGGTTTCGCTCTTCATTGAGATCCTCGACACCCAGGAGAGATTCGCTAAGGTCAGTAAGACGTTTCCCGGCGGGTCTCGACGTCACGCGAGGTCGATTCAACTCGATCACCGCCGTCCGACGTTCTCTCGAATTCTCACAGATTCACCGTGGATCCGATTGGAATACTACAAGCTCTTCTAAAATAAGTTATCCCATTACGATACCAATCGGGGTTCCCATTCTAAAAGAAAAATTCTGGAAAAAGGCATGCGAAGTGAAAGTATCAATGTCTGAACGTGTACCCGACTCTGGACATTCTTGTTGTTTTGCTCTTTAAATACGAATACTCGAACTTTCAACGTAGAATATACCCACGTATATTGAATATATACAAATATTTTGAGTTTAAAAATAAATATGTCGTATTTAAGGACGAGAACAATACACAAAAATATCCACAATTAGGTGTGCGTTCAGGCGCTGGTGCTTTTATCTGAAAAGCTTTAATTGTTACCATTTTTTCGCGATGTTGACCGGCTGTCTCGAAACTCGACCTCGATGTAGGTCGGCCTCGTTTCGACGCGTGGTTGCCATTACGGAGGTTACGCCTTTTGACAGATTGCACGTTAAGAAGTTCATATTCTTTGATATGTAATAATGTTGACGTTTCGTCACACACGAGAAGTTAATTTCTCTGTGGAGGTATAGTGTAAGATAATTGATATGTGTATTAAATGGAAGAAAGGAACTCCGTTAGTCTTGCTGATTTTTCTGTTGTCTGAGAAAAATAGGGACCAGACGGAGAATTCGGTTGTAGAAACAGTAGGATTTTTGCAAAAAGTTTTTACCCAGTCGCTCGTCTTCTTTTCAATTGCTAATCACTTTTAATTCAATTGTTTTTCTCCAACCGCTAATGTCGAACATATTCACCTTATCAACATACATACATACGTCAATATACGTTGACAAGATGAATGTATTGATTCAGCATTATATTTGTATATTTTTTAGCACATATTCCCACGTTAAAGCAATATAAAATTCCAATGGGCTGTTTTTAACGAAAAATTTTGCACTCTGTGAAATGAAACCTTTTCTTTTTTTTTTTTTACGATGCTTACTGGCTGTACGTTACGGCTTGCCGCGTGCAACTTCTTCGCTGAAGTCGAATGGCAGTTCGAATATCACGTTAGAAGGTTAATAAATGGGGTTATATTTTTACTGTTATTATGTTTATATAACAGCCTGCGCGTAGGATGTGTGTACCTACAAAGTATAATTATTTCAAGTGTTCCACATATTTCGTTCAATCGTAGTAGTAAAATGAAAATGAAAAAGAAAAATGTTTAACAACACGCGCGTGTTGAGAATGAAAAATAATAATATCTCTTAATGTTTCCCACTTAGAATCAATGTTCGAAACGTTACAATTCTAACCAGAATCTGCATAGATTTCCCAATTAGAATCCATCATTATTTGGGAAATCGGACTGGACTCCAATTAGATCCCAAGAAATTTTCTGCGCGGGTTCCCGTTGGAAAGAATTGCATCCGCGTGATTCGACGTTCCTTCTCTCGCAGCACCGGCGATGTTCTTTTGCTTTGCGTCGATTTTTCCGTCGCGGTAATCAGTAATTATTTTTTTTGTCCCGTGATGTGCCATCGTGATAATGTATCGCGGGGCACGTGAAAGATAGAGATAGATAGATAGATAAAGAGAGAGAGAGAGAGAGAGAGAGAGAGCGGAGCGTGGGGCGTCGTTTATGAGCCCTTTGAAAACTTCCGCCGGGTAAATTGAGCGACTCGTTGATTTTCTCGATGTAAGAGCTACCCCGGTCGCTGCCGGTACTCCCGCTCAGTGTTTTTATTGAATTCGGAAGCGATTTGGCACCTAAGTCAGTTTGCGGTTTAAATCGATAATGTGGGCCGCTCGGCGATGAGGAAGGATTCTATCTTCGGATCTCTCGATAGAAGGTCATACATAAATTTGGGATCTGAAAAATATATGCGATGCGCGCGCGTAAGAGAGAGAAAGAGAGACGGTAGAGAGATAGTGGAGGAGAAAGAGAAAGAGAGAGAGAGAGAGAGAGAGACGAGACGCTTCACTTCCACGAACGATCGATCGGTTACGCCGTACGTAGGCAGACAGGCGAGGGTAGTGAAACCGCAACTTGTACGTTCCACGGCAACTTTATGATTCGGCGCCGCCATCTTGCGATATTATTTATATGCAAACGCAACGCGAAGGGCCGGAGGGGTGCGCGCTTCGTTCGGCCGCGATATATCGGCAGTTTCGGATCCGATTTACCGCCACTTCCGGCGCGACGAATGTGCATGCGCGTGCATCCCTGCATAATGCATGGGACACAGCGACGTTAACGCGAAAACTCCATTCGCGGAGATGGGCCCGGCTCGTCGTCACGTTGCGAAATGACCGCTGCGAATGTTTTTTTCAAGCGGAACCGCAAGGCGCATGCACGCCTCCCGCGCGCGCGCGGCTTTCTGCTCTGGGAGTCAATGGGACTTGTTGCCCGTTCGCGGCCGATCGTTAAAAATGCGCGCGGCCGGCGCGAATTCGTCGTAAGAAAAACCGCGGGACGGCGCGGAAATTAGTCCGGAGAAATCGCGACGGTGATCCGCGGAAGATCAATATCGCTCTTCGCGCGTACGGAACGGACGGTGTTATTTTTATTATTTTCGAGTAAATTGCAGCCCCGAGGAATTGTTCTCGCCGTCCTCGGCTTAATTTCTGAAATGTCCAAGTGACGGTTTCGCACGGGCCGCGAAATACCGCGATTTTCATTCCGCGCGTTCCCTCTTCCCGCTCGCCGATTTCTAATTTTTCTACCTTCTCCCGCCGTTCTTGGGAAACGAGTTCCGCGCGCGTATAAATACAGGACCTTCGCGATTTCCCACCTTGTTTCCCCGTTTTGCGCACGTAAACCCGCCGGACAATGGGTGATAATGAGATTGCGCCGGTTATAGACAGCCCATTCTTGCCGGCAAATATTGTCCCCCGCTCGGAAAGGACGAGGGCGATAAACCCCGATTTCGTTATGTTGATCACGGCCGTGTCGCGATTGTCATTCGCAATAACGTTGCTATTATTTCACCATCATCGCGACATCGTGTCTCCCGGCTCTTTGGAAATTCCGGAGATCCCGGGCCTTCATAATACGCGCTAAATCGTCCGCCGAGTCCGTCGAGTCGCGCGTTACGAACAATTAAATGAAATCCTTTCGGCGGAATGGTAGGCGTCGCGGACGGGCAGCCGCGGAATTACGAATTGACGACGGAAAAAAAAAGATTAGTTTAATCTATCTAAAATATAAACATATCGATCGGACCGTTTAGTGGAACACGAACGATCCATAATTTTCATCGAAGTGTTCAAACAAATTTTGGTGCATGCGTCGCTTCTTCCCCGTACAACCTGTGCTTCCTCCCGCGAGGAGGAATATCGAAATAAAAGCGGAAGGAAGAATAATCGGCGATTAATGCAACGGAAAAGTGACAATCGAGGCTAGGCGCCGCGAGAAACCTCGGTTGTCCCGCGAGTTGCCGCAGCTTCGAATTTTTGCGGTCGCTCCGGGCGCGCGTCGGGGTGCATTTTGACGGCGACGTACCACGCCGAAAATAACGGGGTGCGCGGCGAGGGATTAAATTCCGCAGGAATTGATGGCAGCGCTAAGATTAAACTACGACCTCCGGTAATGCTGAGATATTCCTCTCATTCAACCGCCCATTTCCACCCTTTTCCCTCTCTTCCGAGTGCTTGCACCGCTGTTTGCAAGTCGTTTCAAAGGACACACGCCGCGTCATTATATCTACAGCTTCCCCCTCCGTCTCTCTCCCCCTACCCCCCTCTCACACACACGGCTCTACGTTGACGGCGCCGAGGAATAGTGGAGAGAGAGAGAGAGAGAGAGAGAGGCGGAAGAGCGATCTTCACGGTAGTTTCCTGCCTTCTCCTCTCACATCGACGTCCACGAGGTACATGGACGTGCGCGTTCCGAATCCGTTGGGGTTATCCCAATGGCATATTAGTTTCCAAGTCAGCGAGGCTGCTTAATTGGAGTCTTAATATCGTGCACCTCAAAGGCGCGCGAGCGGATGAACGCTGAAGCCGCCGCGCAAGAACACTGATTGCGGCGACACGACTGCCGTATATACGAGCGACTACCATCCCGCCGATGAATGTAAATGAGATCTGCCGCCGAGCTCGTTCCCGGCTCGCGAGTTTTTGGTAGGCTCCCCACCCGCTCAGCGTCTCTTATAATGAATGAACGATGACGTTGTGGTAGGCCATGAACTCCAGACGCGTGATTAGTATCCGCAAACTGTCTCTCCTTCTCTCTCTCTCTCTCTCTCTGCTTGATAAACGAGGTAACGTGCATCGCGCAATTTTATGCGTTTCAATTCGCCGGCGAACGTTAATTTCTTATTACGAGTTTGCGAGCGAGGTTCGTGAATGAAACGTGTTAAATAAAGCACGTAGATTTCCGAGCGCCGCTACCTCGCCGTGTCTCGTGACTTTCGTCGCCTTTCGTCGTTGACGATACGTCGTATACGATGACGTCGTTTGGTTTATTAATGTTTAGGCGAAATTGTCATTTCGCTTCACGCTGATCTCATCTCGCCGCATGTATTCAGAGAGTCCTCGGGTTTTATTCTTGAAACGCGCAGCTTTGTTTCAAACGATTCTTATGCATATTCCATCGTCGTCTGTGCCGTTGGTAGAGAGAGAGAGAGAGAGAGAAAAAGGCAACGCTACGTTACGACTTCGTGGAATTCTATCCGACGTACCAAGATTTTAACCGAGTCGGCGATATTTTAACGGCGTACCGAGGACTAGCACGCGCACCTTCGCGACTGCAAATTCGATAGCTTTTATATTCGCTGTGTGTCCCGTGCATCGAAATAAAAATATCTCTTCGCCCGTCCGCGGAGACATGACACGCGAGAATCGCGCGAGCACCGTCGCGAGAACGCAGGAGACAGAACCTTGCCCGTTTCGGACCCCTCGCGGCTAGTAATAAATTGTATTTGATTGACAGACGGATGATAGA